TTGATCATTTAGAGGAAGTAAAAGTCGTAACAAGGTTTCCGTAGGTGAACCTGCGGAAGGATCATTACAGTGCTTTAATTTTTGTCTTTGACAAAAAAAAGTCTTTCGTATAATGAGTAATATATTTCAACACGATACTTTACTCTTATACACTTTACTATTCATTGAACGAATTTGCCTTTTTATTATAGGCGATGATGTAGCGACGTTCGAAAAGATAATAAGGAACATTTATAGTAAGATCGAGCGCACACACGTGTATATTACCCGAACGAGGTGTTGTTGTTTGTGTGTAACACACAACCTCTTCCCTCGTCTCGTCGTGTACGCGAGTGCGTATCTTTTTTATAAATCTTATTGAAAATCTTTTCGTCGTCCCACCATCATATAATACGTATAATTTTCGAACGCACCACGCCGTATAGAGCGCTTCTAGTACGCGCGAGCGCGCGCTCGGGGTACGTTCCGACACGCGTATATCGCATAGACATAATATTGTGTTGTATGCGTATGCGTATGTACACACGTGTCTCTACGACGTCGTCGTCTGTACGGATGGCGATATTTTCGACGGGTAACTCTATATGGGAGAAGAACGGAGATATGTCGTCGTGTCCGCACGACTCATTTCCTTCTTTTCCGGTTGTTTTTAAAGATATTCGCCCGTTAGTCGAAATTTCTACGCCATACGAAAAGACGGTACAAGAGGACGACACGTGTTGTACGCTTAATACATACATATATATTCATGTTATGTACAACTCTGTTGTAGTGTTATTTGTACCCCTTGCACACGCGTATGCTATAGAAGCGCGATACGGATAGAATGCGCGCGTACACGAGAGACTTCGTCGGCACGCTCGTTTGTTATAAACGCGCAAAAATAATTTTGCGCGTTTGCCGCGCAAAATACACGAAGTCTCCGTGAGAAATGCGCGCTTTCTTTTTTTTATATATTTTCTTTAATAACATTAGCCATTATCATAACAATAAAGACGTATCGATATATATTTTATATATATAGAGATCGTCTAATTAAAAAACGATTACCCTGAACGGTGAATCACTTGGCTCGTGGGTCGATGAAGAACGCAGCTAATTGCGCGTCAACTTGTGAACTGCAGGACACATGAACATCGACATTTCGAACGCACATTGCGGTCCTCGGATACTGTTCCCGGACCACTCCTGGCTGAGGGTCGTATCAATTTAAAAGACTGCTCGGTTTCCTCTCCGATCTCTGTTCGCGTCGTCGTATTATCTCTTTATCCGAGAGACGACGACGACGACGACGACATGAGAGAGGAGAATGAAACGTCGGAGCGTGTTGGATGTAGACGCGGCGGTACGACGCGACGACGCTAGTTATTATATATTTATTTATGTAATATCGTAAACGTCGTCGTCTTTGTCGTCGTCGCGGCATCTCAAAACGCGAAAGCGACGATTCGTTCGTCATACGAACGAATCGTAAACTCACACATAGAACGAACACGCGCGCTGTACGGATAAAAATCGTAATAGCACTACATATATATATATATATATATATATATGTATATATGCTGTAGTCGTTACGCGTTTCGAACTTGCGCTGCGATCGTCGTGTCCGAGAGAGAAATTATTTTTTCGAGATAACGACGTCTGATCGCATATACGCGCTAAACACTAGAGAACGCTTTCGACTAGTAGTAGTATAGCAGCAGCAGCTATACGATTTAGTATTAGCGATCGCGTGTGACATATATATCTGTGTGTGGTGTGTGTTGTATATTGTTAACCGACCTCAGAGCAGGTGAGACTACCCGCTGAATTTAAGCATATTACTAAGCGGAGGAAAAGAAACTAACTAGGATTCCCTCAGTAGCTGCGAGCGAACAGGGAAAAGCCCAGCACCGAATCCCGCGGTCGATATCGGGCGCCGGGAAATGTGGTGTTAGGGAGGATCCGTTTATCCCGAGGTCGCGCGGCGAGTCCAAGTCCTTCTTGAACGGGGCCACAGCCCATAGAGGGTGCCAGGCCCGTAGTGGCCGCTGCCGATCGCGGGAGGATCTCTCCTCAGAGTCGGGTTGCTTGAGAGTGCAGCCCTAAGTGGGTGGTAAACTCCATCTAAGGCTAAATATGACCACGAGACCGATAGCGAACAAGTACCGTGAGGGAAAGTTGAAAAGCACTTTGAAGAGAGAGTTCAAGAGTACGTGAAACCGTTCAGGGGTAAACCTGAGAAACCCGAAAGGTCGAAAGGGGAAATTCATTCGCGTTTCGGCCGTCGGCGATGAGGTCGCGCGACGGACGGCGTTCGCGCGTCGTCCGCGCCTTTCGCTTTTCGATCCGGCGTCGAACGCGTGCACTTTTCCCCTAGTAGGACGTCGCGATCCGTTGGGTGTCGGTCTACGGCTCGCGGTGGAGTCCGTGTACGATCGTTTCGGCGATTCGTGCTCGAACCCGCGATGTTCCGGCCGACTCGCTCGACGGTATACAGATGGCGCGAGGCCGCTACTTCTTCAATTAGCGTCCGACCCACGACAAGCACGTTCGATGCTAAGACGGCGATCGGACCTAGCGCCCGGTTCCGTCCCCGGACGACTGTTGGTCGTGCGGATTTCTCGGACAGACCTCGTTTGAAACGCCGATCTGCGACGCTATAGCTTTGGGTAATTTCAGGACCCGTCTTGAAACACGGACCAAGGAGTCTAGCATGTGCGCGAGTCATTGGGACATAACTAAACCTAAAGGCGCAATGAAAGTAAAGATCCGCCTAGCGCGGATTTAGGGAAGATGGGCGGCACGTCTATAAAGCGGCCGCTCCGCACTCCCGGGGCGTCTCGTTCTCATTACGAGAAGAGGCGCACCAAGAGCGTACACGCTGGGACCCGAAAGATGGTGAACTATGCCTGGTCAGGACGAAGTCAGGGGAAACCCTGATGGAGGTCCGTAGCGATTCTGACGTGCAAATCGATCGTCGGAACTGGGTATAGGGGCGAAAGACTAATCGAACCATCTAGTAGCTGGTTCCCTCCGAAGTTTCCCTCAGGATAGCTGGCGCTCGTCTGTGACGAGTTTCATCCGGTAAAGCGAATGATTAGAGGCATTGGGGTCGAAACGACCTCAACCTATTCTCAAACTTTAAATGGGTGAGATCTCCGGCTTGCTCGAACTAATGAAGCTGCGAGAATCGAATCAGAGTGCCAAGTGGGCCATTTTTGGTAAGCAGAACTGGCGCTGTGGGATGAACCAAACGTCGAGTTAAAGCGCCTAAATCGACGCTTATGGGATACCATGAAAGGCGTTGGTAACTTAAGACAGCAGGACGGTGGCCATGGAAGTCGGAATCCGCCAAGGAGTGTGTAACAACTCACCTGCCGAAGTTACTAGCCCTGAAAATGGATGGCGCTGAAGCGTCGTGCTTATACTCGGCCGTCAGCGGCATGTGCGGTCTCGATCCGCGTAAAAACGGATCGGCCATGAAGCTCTGACGAGTAGGAGGGTCGCGGCGGTGCGCGCAGAAGGGCTGGCCGTGAGGCCGTCTGGAGCCGCCGTCGGTGCAGATCTTGGTGGTAGTAGCAAATACTCCAGCGAGGCCCTGGAGGACTGACGTGGAGAAGGGTTTCGTGTGAACAGCCGTTGCACACGAGTCAGTCGATCCTAAGCCCTAGGCGAAAGCCGATGTTGATGTGGCGTTGTTTTATAAATATATGTATGTATGTGTGTATATATAAAGAACACGCCCGTCGGGCGAAAGGGAATTCGGTTCCTATTCCGAAACCCGGCAGCGGAACCGTACAATAGTCGGGCCCTCGCAAGAGAGTTCGTCGGGGTAACCCAAAAAGACCCGAAGACGCCGTCGGGAGACCAGGGAAGAGTTTTCTTTTCTGCATAAGCATTCGAGTTCCATGGAATCCTCTAGCAGGGAGATATGGTTTGGAATGCGAAGAGCACCGCAGTTGCAGCGGTGTCCTGGTCTTCCCCTCGGACCTTGAAAATTCGGGAGAGGGCCACGTGGAGGTGTCGCGCCGGTTCGTACCCATATCCGCAGCAGGTCTCCAAGGTGAAGAGCCTCTAGTCGATAGAATAATGTAGGTAAGGGAAGTCGGCAAATTGGATCCGTAACTTCGGGATAAGGATTGGCTCTGAGGATCGGGGCGTGTCGGGCTTGGCGAGGAAGCGGGTCGCGGCTGACGTGCCGGGCCTGGGCGAGGTGAAACGTTCTGTCGTATGCGTTCGCGCGTGTGCGGTAGGATTGCGGATCCGAACTCGGTACCGTGCCTTGGCCTCCCGCGGAACCGTCTTGCTGCGAGGCCCAGAGTGCGCTCGCAAGGGCGTTCTGGTGTCCTCTTCGGCCGCCATTCAACGGTCAGCTCAGAACTGGCACGGACCGGGGGAATCCGACTGTCTAATTAAAACAAAGCATTGAGATGGCCCCTGCGGGTGTTGACTCAATGTGATTTCTGCCCAGTGCTCTGAATGTCAACGTGAAGAAATTCAAGCAAGCGCGGGTAAACGGCGGGAGTAACTATGACTCTCTAAACAGGGCGACCCACTATCCCCCTTGCTCTTCAATATAGTCGTGGACGAACTCCTTGAAGCACTGAACCGCGACTGGGCTGGCGGTTCGCTCAACTCCGAGATGAGGATTGCCGCTATGGGGTTTGCGGACGATATCGTTGTGCTAGCGGATAGGATTATCGACTTGCCTCTGATGCTGGGTGAGGTAGAGTCGTTTGCAACCAGCAGGGTTTAGCTTTGAATGCGAAGAAGTGCGTCGCATTATGTGCCGTCACCTCTTCGGGAGATAAGCGACCCCTGCCCGTGACTAGGGCCTTTCTTAGTGTTGGCGGTGAGAAGATACCGCAGATTAACGTACTTTCCACTTTCAAGTATCTCGGGCACAATTATGGCGCTACTGGTATTAATAAGGCCAATATTCCTAACCTTCAGGCCTGGCTGAGGAACATAGAGACCGCGCCGTTGAAGCCAGATCAGAAGCTTACGCTTCTGAA